TAATCTATATATATATATATATATATATATATATATATATATATATATTCATATATCTATGGTCAGACAGGAGTATAAATCCCTCCTACTAAGAAACTGCAACATTATGTAACCCAACCAGTTACCATGGTGAGAGATGTCAACAAATCAGGTCATGGCCAGATCAGAGGTCAGTGTTTGGAACAGCAGAAGAAGAAGAGGAAACGTAGCAAAAACAATTTATGTTTTCCTTCGATAAACATAAAAATATTTTTGAAAACATCAAATGCAATACTGATTATACATGTAACTGTGTTGTTTTTGTAAGTGACAAAGTCTGAAGAGAAAAACTGACCTGATCATATTCTATAGTCAGCAGTATAGAGACTGTGAGGATGTTGGACAAGGCTACAGCACAGCACAAGTACTCAAAGTACCGGTGTGCAATCATCTTCTGGAGAAACTGTAGCCATGAGTGTCTGCAAAACAAATTAAAAACTGTTAACTGGTACATGTACATCTAGTCCTCTAGAAACTAATTTAGGAAGCTATGCCTTTATCACTATCATGGGAAACTAGTACTAGTAGTTTCCCATAACTAGTAGACTACTAGTAGTAGTCTTAAATCATATTGCAATAACACCAGCAAATACACAGAAAATGCTTCAAATTTCTTGGGCTTTTTTACTAGTGCTTATACCAGTAGAATGCAGAAGAATTTGGGAGTTTAAAATTTGGGAAAGTACTTTTATGAGGTCTTGTTTCAGTGTATTCAACTACAGTCATCAATGGCCAAACGTAACTAGTGTTTGGTAGCCTGAATGTTTACCATACCATACCTGAATGCTGGTAGAGGTGGCCTGTGATGAACCTGGTAGTCTAAATCCAACAGGTCAAAAACTGCCTGGAACTGCGCTGCGTTGTACGTCCCGAACATGTCTCTCCCCAGCTTTTCCGTGATCCTCCGTTCTGCCGACTTGGGCAGGCTGACCTTCTCGATCACGTGGTAGATCGTGCTGACGCGTACGCAGTCGCCGCCGGAGTTCGTGCTCAGCTCCACCTCCTTGTTCTGCTGGCTGAGGACTTCGAACGCGGCGCGGACCGCAACCCTTCTCCGGAAAAAGCTGCCCTGAAGCGATGACTGCAGATAGCCGCGGAACTGGTTATAGATGACGGCGGTCATCATGTTGAAAAGGAGGTACAAACCGATCGCGAGGAACAGGATAAAGTAGACGGCGTACAAACGGTTGTGAGAGTACGCTGTCATCGTAACATCGGGATTGTTTGCGGTGGTGAGGAGGACGAGAAGCGTGATGAACGCGTTCCAGAGGGAATGGAAGTTTGGGTCGCTCACCCCTGTGGCACCTGGGTCCACGGGCACCCAGGAGCTGTTGTTACCGCCAGCAGTCGAACCAACCGGCTCCGAGAACAACAGCATCCCGACGATCGTAAAGAAGTACACGTGGAGAAACTGTAGCACCAGCACTGCGAAAATCTCTGGTAGGGTTCGCTTTATACAGTTCACCGTCTTTTTCATCAGCGAGGAGTTCTGTAGGAGGAAAAACGGACGGAAGAATCGGCGAATTCGCAGGACAGAGCGATAATGCGACGTGCCGGGAACCGGGACGATGCACAGCACACCAAGCGTCGCCATCCAATCCAGAAGCGACACAAGAAGGATGAGTACATACGCGATTAGCCACGGACTTTTTAAGAACTTCTCCTTTCCGACTAAGTAGGTTTTCACGACGAAATCGGCGAGAAAGATGAGAAGACAGAACAGTTCTATTGACTCAGTCACGCCACACGGAGGATCCCATTGGTTGGTTTGATTCGTCCCATTTCTGTTGATGAACAGCGTCTGTGTGTCGGAGGTGTACGAGAGAGACGACGGGCGCTCGAAGAACGCGAGCACAAGGAGGACCGAGATGGCTGCGTACATGCCCCACTGGACCCAGTTGGAGTAGTACAGGCGATACAGACGTAACGACCGCCGGTCCACGCGATGGTGGATGGAACGGTACTGGATAAGAGAGAAAACATCCTTATATAATATAATCTGAAATGTCTCTAAATGAAAACTGCCCAACAAGAACAAGAAATATTAACCTTGAGTAAAGCTTGCGCAAATGTTGAAAGTAACATACAAACTTGCAAAAGTATTAAACTTTAGTGCCTTAAACTTACATTATATTCTAGTCCTAACTGGTAGTATTATCAATTATAGCACTGTATGACTATGAGTGGAATGAAAATTAATTTTTAATTTCTGAAAAACACTGCAATATCAGAAGAAAAAGATCTAGAGAAGACAATAATTATGAATTAATGAAATATTTCAATTAATAAAAGTCATTTTTCTTGCTCTATGTCCCTGTTTTGATCAATTTATATAACAAGTCTGACTCACATGAATGGCATCCTCCACAAAGACAACAGCCTGCAAAAGGATGTCTTCATCTGAAACAAAAGAAGCCAAGTAAATTAAATTAATTGCAACTACACGTATAGTAGTGGTGCATACTGGTTCACTGGACTTGGATCCGGACTTGTAAGAATGTTTAGGTTCAAGTCCAAAAAAACCTAAAAGTCAAGAACCGAGTCCGGACTTATTACCATAAAAGACCATTTCACATACCCCTTTTCTTTTCAAACCACCTAAAACCTTCCGTAGATTACAAAATCTTTGCTGCAAAATGGAGAAAACATTGCCATCGGGCATCGTCAAGTACCGGCCTCCATGTTATGTGGCCAAAGTTTCACCCAGACAACATAGCAAGGTTGCCAACATGTAATTTTGTATATGCCAAGGGTTTAGGTCCGGACTTACAAGTACGGAACTGAACCTAAACCTCTGGACTTGAACCCGGACCTGAACCTAAAATTGGGTTTAGGTATGCACCACTAACGTATATGTCAAATTCCCCCCCCCCCGACTTACCTGCCATCAGGCAGAATAAAAATCAACTTCTGGTTTCACTAAACCAGAACTTCTACTAGATGCTAATGCTCAAAAACAGGAATATCATTTCCGTAAAAACACCTGGTAACTGAGTATACAAAAATGTAGTTTGAACATGACATTTCTTGAATACAATCCCAAGCAGAAGTTGGTACGTACGGTAGGTCAGCTGACTCTAAAGTCTAATGATAGAGGAAATACCTTGTATGTACAATATAATTTATAAATGTATATACATTAGTGCTGTGTACTGGTTCACTGGACCGGTTTTGGACTTGTAAAAATTGCAACGACATTGCAAGGTTGCCAACATGCATTTTTGTATATGCCACATGGGTTTAGGTCTGGACTTATGAGTCTGGAACTGAACCTAAACCTCTGGACTTGAATCCGGACCTGAACCTAAATGTGGGTTTAGGTACACAGCACTAATATACATACATGTATGTACAGGTCCTCTTGAATTTTCAGCCCAGTCAGGAAAATTCTATTCTTACATACCTAGAATAAAACATTATCTTAAACTTAAAGTATGTAGTTCTAACATACAACAACAAAATATTAAGCAGCTTGCACCTTGCCCTTAGAATAAAACCAGAAAGGGCAAAGAACCCACGTTTGTTATAAGGAAGTACTACTAACTTAAGAGAGAAAACAAACCTTGGACTGCGGCAGATTGTGCAAACTGGTCCGAGCCTACAGTCTCCAAGTCTCGCTCAATGTACCTTTGCATAATTTGCTAGCGAAATTCCCACAAAAAACAGCTCCAAATTTGCAACACATCCGATCTTGATCGCTCACAGTTGAGTAGACAGTTTATAAACTTATTGAAATCATGTCAAGAGCTAGCTATATTGCTAAAAGCAAAATACAACTGAATATGCTCTTAAAGTTTCAAATGGTCCAAAGCCAGCTTGTCATCAAGTTAACCCTCTCCATGCTAAGTTACCCTGTGGCCAGTACAGACTTGCTTCACAGGTAAGACCACAGTAGGAAGATGGTTAATAACAGTTAGAGAGATCTAGAGGGTATAAAAATGCTGACGTGCCTTCGACAGGCAGCAGTGAGGTTATGTACTTTGTAACCTGGGAGTTTAATTGACCCATAGTTAAAGATTAACCATACAAGTGTCAAGCAAATTTGCATACGTATCAGAAGCCTGGCAAAGAGAATTTACTAGAAAGGACAATCTAGTCAGTACTGAGGTTTCTTTACGTTAAACTGTTGATTTTATCAAAGTGTTTTCTTAATTGTTTCAGAATAAATGAGTTGGTTAGATAAATTTTTCAGGCTACTCAATCACAGTCCTATAAATACAAACAAGAGGCTGGGAGTTCGAATCCTAGCTACTGTTGCTCACTCGACATGTACACTACTGGAAAGAGTTACAGTACTTAGGACAGGACGTTAAACTGTGGTCCACTGTTGTATTAAGTACTTGTTGCTAGGGGAATTTTCCTGGTACAATGAACTTGTACATTAATGTTGTAACTTATACATATTGTATATAGTGTCGGTATTCTCTGTCATTTGAAACATTAACTGTTCCAGTGAATTCTTACCACAAAATCATAGCAATGACAATACGTATTTGTTTTATATTCCTAAATTTTGCACTACAAGGAACTGTTGCAGCTGTGAACTCCAAACACTTCAAAACCCACATTTCCCACCTCTACTGCAAAATAAAACTTAAGGTTAAGGCATTTACAGTAGGGACAAACAAACCTTGTACTGGTGCAGTTTGAATGTCCTGTACAGTTGAGTTTTGAACTTCAACTGTCTCCAACTCAACTTGGTTGGCCACTTCCTCTGGTTGTTGCATCTCTAAACAAATCTGTGCTCAAAAATTCTGCTTCCAAGTTCAAGAAATACTCTTCTTGAAACAAACAAATCAGGATGGACCCAACTGTTGCTAAATTCAGCAGAGACAGAGATGTCTTGTTCAGCTTGTGAGGTTGGAAAATGGTAGGAGCAGAACTGATGATATGCTGAAGCACCCAAAAAACAGGAAAAGGAACAAGAGTATTCTGTAGCTAACAGTACATGATTTGACTAGACCTTTGTATGTAGCAAAACAAGAACATACATGTACCTTTGACCCTACCTTTTTTTGTACCCGTATCTGTACATGTGTATTACATCCAAAATTATGTCAACACTGGGTGTCTAGTGTCGGCGGCTTCAGCACTGGAAACTCTGAATCAGCAAACCAAACCTAACTTCCTAACTTTAGTAAGTGCCTTTAAAAAGGGTATCGAGATGCTGCCTTTGAGTTTGAACTCTAGCACTCATATTTTCGAGACTATCATTTACACATGTACCGCCCAGGAAGCAAATTATAATTGCGACAGCAAGGTGATCAGTAGGACAGGATTGCAAGGCCTCTTTCCTCACATTTTTACAGTACTGTACTACATACTGTACGCCGCACGACCAACGTAAGCACCAGAAGGCCAATGCCAAAATGATTTGAGAACTCGGCAGCACTGAAACGATCCAGTGAGGAACCCGTTACTTACTAGTAGTTACTCAGGCACTTGCTATCCAGTAGCTAGTGAATGGCCTCCGAACACTGGCACCTGAGTGCTGAGTGGAATTTAGCACTGGAAAATGAGTGCCAAGTCAAGATTCAGCTCTGGAAGTCCTTGTTACGGTGCTTCAGCACTGGATCAAAGTTGTTCAGCACTAGAATTGCTGTGCGGAGCTTTCTTCCGCACTAGGCCCCCAGTGAGGAATCCGTTTTTTTTACTACAGTACCCTTGCACTTGTACTGACTATTGAATATTATAATATGTACACTATAATGTCAAGGACGTCTTAAAACCCAGATGTCAAGATGTGTTAAAACCCAGATTCGCCCACACATGCTAAAATTCATACATACAATAATTTGCACCCGGCCCCCCTAACACTCCAAGCAGAGGTTTGGGTTTTGGCATTATTTTTGGCGTGTTTTTAGACTTTTTTTATTGGGGTTCTTCTTTCAATGGAAGTTTTCTTTTTCACTGGAATTTTTCTTTCACCCAACCCTGAAAATTACAATGCAAACAAAAAAAAAAACAATAAAAAAAGTCTAAAAACACGACAAAAATAACCTAAAACCCAAACCTCTGCTTGGAGAGTAGGCCCCCCTCCCCCAATCAGAAAACACTAAAATCAAATCAACGCAAAATCTGTTCTTACCAAATTGCAGTAGTAGAAGAACCCTCCTACAGAGAGCCCTGTCCTGTTGCTGGTGGAAATATTACTTTCATAACTGCACGTATCAACTACAGAGTTCGAGCACTTTCCTCGAAAATAACAATTTATGATAAAAATATTTGTCACAGCATCACTTACCATCTTCTTCCGGAAAAAGTTCTTGGGCCGCCGCAATTTTTGCGTGAGAATTCCCCTGTATACTCCCCGTAGAAGCCGTCAAAGGCTCAGTTTCGGGTCCCTCCATATTGGATGATTCTGTTAGATGAAATATGTCCGTTGCTGTGACATTACATGCTCGAAAAACAAGTTTAAAGTTCCAAAAAATAGACGGCAACTTTCAAAACGTCAAATTTCCGCCATTTTGGATCACGTGGTAGACCTATGACTGGAACGTACCATTTGTTCATGGGGGTTCATACTGTACACACGTGGCGAGTTAGGCCATGTTGATTTGATTATATGGATGACATCAACGCGCGCATGAATTTTCGGTCATTTACACACAAAAAAAAGTTTTCAACCATACTGTAAATCGTACAAAATCGTACAAAACAGTTGCAAAATGAGCAAATATACACCGTAAGTTGAAAAAAAAAACATTGGAAAACGATACCAATGTCGTAGAACTCTAGGTTCAATCCAGTACCAACTACCATTCCAACATGTTGGCTTCTTCTTCTTCCATTCCAACATACCAACGTGCCAGCCTACCCTATAGCTACTTGCGTATAAGAGCAGACGTCCATTTCACACAATGACGAAATGACGAAAGTGCCATATAAATATTCCATCGCGACCTTTCAAAAGCGTGCACATGTCGCACTCCCAAAGGAGACACCGAGGTTTATTCGTCCTTTGCGTGTAGAGATGACCTTCAGTCACGACACTGTGACAGGTAATGGACGTTTGTCCCTTTCTCTCATAACATTGTAGCTGATTTCGAAAACCAGCTAGCTCTATAGCACTCGTAATACGTCTACTACAAGTATGGCACTTGCGAACGGGTTAGCATTGCGAAGGGCCACCAGGTTGCTGGGTTTCCTTGTCTCGCTGTTGTTTCTTGTGCTGATTAACTACGCTCACTTCGGGATCTTGCTTCGCCACTTCTGGCCTGAAAAACCTCCCGTTAGTAGAGAGACATGCACCTGCGAGTGCTGGGACACCATCTTCAAAGGAACGTACGAAACGGGCGTCGGGCGATACAAGCACATGTACTTCAACGTCACGCCGCAATCGCTGAAGATCTGGACACTGACGGTCGCCGCCGTGCTGCTGACGTACGAGTGCGTCACTTACGTCGTCCGCGTCGCTCTCAGAAGCAAGTTCCGACCGTCTATGTTCATCCTCCTGATATCCGTGATTCACTCCCACTACTACTCGTGGTGGGTTTTCTTTGGGTACTATAACGATGATTTTTACGCACAGTGGTGGCATCAGCTGGTGTTCACGAGCTCAGAGCTGGTCTCCACGGTACTGGTGCTGCTACAGCTGGACCAGGCGGTGCCTCTGTCCCCTCGCCTGCTCCTGGCTACCGCCGGCATCGCCGCGTTTCACATCCTGGCAGCCGGGAAGGACCAGTTCGTCCAGAACGTGCTGTTGAGGAGGGGGGAGTTCCACCAGGTGTGTAAACCTTTAGATCTTATGACCAGTATAACATAGAAAAGCTTTATTGCAAGCTAATGCCAAGGATAGGGATGGTGATGACCAACCAGAGCCAAGGACAGGGTAATGATGGCCAATCAGCACCAAGGACAAGAATGGTGTTGGCCAATCATCGTATAGAATGGGAATGGCGATGACCAATCAGCACCAAGGACAGAATTAGTGATTACAAATCAGTACCAACTTGTGAAGTTCTACGTTCTACTAATAACGTACGTATACGTGACAGAGTGGATATGTAATACATGGTAAGATGGTAGATGGCGAGAAAGATGGTTAACATTTGGGTCTATCTTTAACGTATAGGTTACTCAGTAAGAACAGATATAAGGCATGAACATATGTAAATGAGCTAAGAGTTGTGACAGGTCCTGCCTAGGCCTGTTCAGTACGGGACAGGTATACTACTATTGGCTAATGCTAATGAACATATGTAAATGAGCTAAGCGTCGTGACAGGTCCTGTGTGTTCAAGTGTACTACTATTGGCTAATGCTAATGAGCATATGTAAATGAGCTAAGAGTCGAGACAGGTCATGTCTGTTCCAGGTGTACTACTATTGGCTAATGCTAATGAACATATGAAAATAAACATATGTAAATGAGCTAAGAGTCGTGATAGGTCATGTCTGTTCTAGGTGTACTACTATTGGCTAATGCTAATGAGCATATGTAAATTAGCTAAGAGTCTATGTCTGTTGCAGGTGTACCGGGACAGGTATACTGCTATTGGCTGATGCTAATGAACATATGCAAATGGCTAAGAGTCTATGTCTGTTCCAGGTGTACTGGGACAGGTATACTGCTATTGGCTAATGCTAATGAGCATATGTAAATGAGCTAAGAGCCTATGCCTGTTCCAGATGTACCGGGACAGCGCGCTGATGGTGTCGGATGTGGTGTACCTGGTCGTGACGTCAGCAGAACTGGTCAGGTTGTTGTGGTGCAGCGGGGAGAGACGGTCCAGGGATGACGTCATGGCGCTAGGGCGGGACGGACTGGTCTCTGCTGTCGTCATTTTCGGACTCCTGGCGATGTTGTCTTACCTATGATTCACCCGCACTAACTTTCAGGGACTTTTTACTCAAATACAGGATAGAAGTTATAAACTTTGAAAAACAACTTACAGTAAACTACAGATGTCTCAGGTTGGAAGCGATATAGCCGCGGCGACTGTTGCAGGGCTTCTTTTGCTTGCAGTCTTTTACATTAGGCCTAACAGCATTTGTTCTTAAGGGCTAATGTAAAACTAAAAGACTGCAAGCAAGAGAAGCCCTGCAACAGTCGCCGCGGCTAGAAGTGGTACTACGTGTCACGTGTCGTTGGTCTATGATTCTAGCACTAGCTTACAAGGACTTGTTACACAAATACAGGATAGAAGGAGCTTTGGAAAAGAAAACTATAGTCATCTAGGGTTGGAAGTGGTACTACGTGTCATATGCGTCGTTGGTGTATGTGGATAGTCATTTGTATGTTGGCAAGGTGCGTGCTAAATTGCTTAACCAAGCATGCCGTCTAGCGGAATTAATGCTCTATACACGCACCTTATATGGGCTGTACGTATGTTCTTGAGTCGTGGCGCCTGGGTGCCAGCCTCCAGATTACTTAAGTACCACCGGCTCTGTATTGTCGCTAACTACCATTGACTACCAAGGCCTACTGCCAGGCCAGAACCTCGGAGGACGTTTTATTTTTTTGAGAGAGAGAGTAGGCTAGGTGAAAATCAATGCGCGCAGATGTCATCCATAAAATTAAGTCGGTGCGACCTACGTAATGTTTACGGATGACGTGCGCGTGCATTGATTTTGGCCTGTTCCCATAATAAAAAAAGAAATCCCGTTTCTTGTTTCTATGGCCAAAGAGCAACGACAGTGGGATACAGGAAGATGTGATTGAAGAAAAAACAGGACAGGACAACAACTACTGTTCCATATGGTTTAGTGCTGTTTTCAGTACGAAAAAAAGATATGTTAGTTGTTACACTGTGTTCTCGCATTCAATTTGTATCCTGACATTTGTTGCTTAGTATATTTCATATCTAGAAATCTTGCTTTTTTCGGCCTTTCTTGTTTCTTGCGCTCTCGCATTACATTTAGGGTCTCTGAAAGACGACATCCATAAAAGATTATATCGTGTGGCCTAAAGCGTTAAAGTAAATGCATACGAAAGTTATAGGTTGTACATCCCTAGGTCATATACCTGTATTCTTCTTAAACTTGCTATATGTAGCGTCTGTTCAGAACAGACTTAGAATAGTTATACAGCAAGTAAATCCTAAAGGGGCACACCAATGCAACATCCTATACTTAGCTAAAGTCTATCCTCCATCTTTGATGCCTGATCAAAATAGCTGTTGGCCTTTTCGTGATCACCAACGTCCATCCAAGTGATACCCAAGTTGTTTAGTGACGCAGCGATGTCAGGATGTGCAGTGTTCTCACCATAGATAACACGCATCATCTGTAGTGACTGTTCATAATAGCTGACTGCCTTTTTGTGATCACCAAGGTCCCCCCAGGCGTTACCCAAGTTGTTAAGTGACCTGGCGATGTCAGGGTGATCAGTGTTCTCACCATAGATAACCCGCCTCATCTGTAGTGACTGTTCATGATAGCTGACGGCCTTTTTGTGATCCCCAAGGTCGTTCCAGGCGCTACCCAAGTTGTTAAGTGACGCGGCGATGCCAGGGTGTTCAGTGTTCTCACCATAGATAACCCGCATCATCTGTAGTGGCTGTTCATAATAGCTGACGGCCTCCCTGTGATCCCCAAGGTCCCCCCAGGCATTACCCAAGTTGTGAAGTGACCCGGCGATGCCAGGATGTGGAGTGTTCTCACCATAGATAACCCGCTCCATCTGTAGTGCCTGTTCATGATAGCTGACGGCCTTTCTGTAATCACCAAGGTCCCCCCAGGCATTACCCAAGTTGCCAAGTGACGCTGCGATGTCAGGATGTGGAGTGTTCTCACCATGTATAATCCGCATCATCTGTAGTGCCTGTTCATAATAGTTGACTGCCTTCCTGTGATCACCAAGGTTCAGCCAGGCATTAGCCAAGTTGTTAAGTGACATAGTGATGAAGGGATGTGCAGCGTCCTCACCATAGATAACCCGCATCATCTGTAGTGCCTGTTCATGATAGCTGACGGCCTTCCTGTGATCCCCAAGGTCCTTCCAGGCATTACCCAAGTTGTGAAGTGGTGCGGCGATGTCAGGATGTTCAGTGTTCTCACCATAGATAACCCGCCTCATCTGTAGTGCCTGTTCATGATAGCTGACTGCCGTTTTGTAATCTCCATAGTTCCCCCAGGCGCTACCCAGGTTGTTAAGTGACGCGGCGATTTTAGGATGTGCATTGTTCTCACCATAGATAGCCCGCCTCATCTGTAGTGACTGTTCATGATAGCTGACAGACGTTTTGTGATCCCCATGGTCGTTCCAGGCGCTACCCAAGTTGTTAAGTGACGCGGCGATGACAGGATGTGCAGTGTTCTCACTATAGATAGCCCGCCTCATCTGTAAGGACTGTACAAGATAGCTGACGGCCTTCCTGTGATCCCCAAGGTTCTTCCAGGCATTACCCAAGTTGTGAAGTGACCGGGCGATGTCAGGATGTGCAGTGTTCTCGCCATGGATAACCCGCCTCATCTGTAGTGACTGTTCATGATACCTGACTGCCTTTTTGTGATCACCAAGGTCCCCCCAGGCAAGACCCAAGTTGTTAAGTGACTTGGCGATGTGCGGATGTGCAGTGTTCTCAGCATAGATAACCTTCCTGATATGTAGGGACTGTTTATGATAGCTGACGGCCTTTCTTGGATCACCAAGGTCCCCCCAGGCGTTACCCAAGTTGTTAAGTGACCCGGCGATGTTAGGAACTGCTGTGTTCTCACTGTACATAACCAGCATCATCTGTAGTGACTGTTCATAATAGTTGACGGCCTTTTTGTGGTCACCAAGGTTCCCCCAGGCGGTACCCAAGTTGTTAAGTGACCCGGCGATGTCAGGATGTGCAGTGTTCTCACCATAGATAACCAGCTCCATCCGTAGTGACTGTTCATAATAGCTGACGGCCTTTTTGTGATCACCAAGGTCCCTCCAGGCGATACCCAAGTTGTCAAGTGACATGGCGATGTGCGGATGTGGAGTGTCCTCACCATAGATAACCCGCATCATTTGCAGTGACTGTTCATGATAGCTGACTGCCTTTTTGTAATCACCAAGGTTCCCCCAGGCGTTACCCAAGTTGTTAAGTGACCCGGCGATGTTAGGATGTGCAGTGTTCTCACCATAGATAACCCGCATCATCTTTATGGACTGTTCATGATAGCTGACAGCCTTTTTGTGGTCACCAAGGTCCCCCCAGGCGTTAGCCAAGTTGTTAAGTGACGACGCGATGTCAGAATGTGCAGTGTCCTTACCATGGATAACCCGGTCCATCTGTAGTGCTTGTTGATAATAGCTGACGGCCTTCTTGTGATCGCCAATGTTCTGACATGCTGTGCCTAGTTTATGAAGTGATTCAGCAATGTCAGGATGTATGGCAGCGTCGCCAAATTGGGAACGATAGTTCCGGAGAATCTCTTCCATGCATGTCTTCAAGTTTTGGTAATCACACAGACTTTTGTATACCTCTGACTTAAGTTGCAACGAGTTGTCAAATAGCGTCGTTAATGGCTCTTGTAATGGCTCTGTAATCTCTGAAACAAAGTCCTTTAAAGGTGCTGCTGTGTAATAGTATCTCATGATCTGTTTTGCACTGGAAATGTAAAACACTGTCCCCAACTTCTCATCCAAATCTGTTTCTCTTGGCATTGACGATAATGCTGACATATTTTCTACTTGACCACGATTATTCATGTACGTCCGCAGCCTCAGTTCTGCTGAGATACTGACCAGCACCATCAAGTGATGTGCGTTCTCTGTGTTAATGACACCATTCATGTGCATCTTGTCAATGGTCTCCCAGATTGTTGTCGGTAGTATTCCTCGAAGTAGTGCCCAACAAGACACAGCGATGCTTGAAAATCGATAGATTTCTTTCTTTACATTGAACAGATTGGCATTCATGACATCTCTTTCGAAAGCTGGAGAATTCTCTTTCAATATGGCAGTGGCTAGTAACAAGGAGATTTCTCTATTGTTTTCGTGAAGTCGCTTATTCCACAAAGCTGTATATTCATTGACTAACTCTTGGTCTCCTACGATTAAAGAAGCATTCCCCAAGACACTGGCAAGATGGTAGCCTTTCTTCAAATAGAAGGAAACATTGTCTTCCAAAAGTTTTGTCATGTTAGTCGGTGTGCGGATAAGTTCACATGTTTTCCCCCTGCCCAATGGAGTCTTGCATGCCTGTGGCATGGCCCCATCGAACGAAAACCCACGCGGTGTTACAGAGTCATAGTACCAGTTATCTTGTGGGTCGTCTGAGTGGAAATCATTGAGAGACTTGATCCCCATGGCCGGGAGAATGGTTTCTCCCAGATTGATGACTTTAAGATGCAGATAGTGAGTGAGGTTGCGGAAGTACGTGACATTATTCACTGTTTCCTTCTCTACCAAAATCGCAAATTCCAGATCAGAGTATGGTGTTACTAGTCCCGTGGCTTGTGAACCCAGGCCTATCATGGCGTACTTACAGGGAGGGGGACCCATTACCTCCATGCATTCATCTACAAGGCCAACTGTAAACGTTCTTCGATGATGAAGTATCGTCTGAAACAATTCTTTGATTGCTTCTGCTCTCTTCCTCTCCACTTCTCTGATATTAGGGTCATCATCGTCAAGGCTATAAGGATCAACCTGTTGTTCAATTGTTTTCATCTCTTTTTCGACTTGTTGTCTATCTTCTTTCAGCATCGTTTTACGTTTCTTGACATCATCGGCATCTACTGTTTGTGTGATACCCAGCACATGCTTAATGAATGATTGGGTTATCAATTGGATTGTTTGTTTTATGTTGTCTTGGTCTTCTCCTTCTGACCTTACCAGTGCTGCATTACAGAGCGCTGCTGCTTTGGTGAAATCACCACCGTCCTTTGATTGTTGTCCTCTCTTCAGGTAGACATCGCTCAACTTTAATAGGGGCTCGATCTCTTTGCTGGAATCTGTATGAAATAGAAGTATCTGATTTTTAATAACTCCAGATCTCAGTAACCGAAAAGTTGCTATTTTTGGACATCATTTTGACAGTATTGTTACTATTTTCTATAAAATTTTGTAAGACTTCCCAAGTACTGGTTCTGCTTGGCGACTGTGGAAGGGATGGTATCTCTTCAATCGATGTGAAATATTTAAAGTATTTTTGAAATTTGTGTTTTGTTCTTTGTTGTGAATTTCTCGATGATTCTGTCTATCATTTTCCCGCTTGTTCCCATAAGGCAACACATGAATGTACACATAGCAGTAATTTGAGGACAGGAAATGAGAGAGAGTAACATTTTCTGGGACCTAAAAATACTGCATATCACCAAATGGTTTTTATTCTTTTTGGATAAACTGTTTTGCATGACTCACCTTTCCCATGGACAGACTTGAGCGCAGCTGCCAAGTGTTTTTCTGCCTTGTCCAGGTCCCCTGTCTGCAGGGCCCTGCAGCCCTTCTGTAGGTGGTCTTGGTATGTACTGTTGGAGGGATGACATGGCATACAGGTTAAAATAGTTGAACTTACTTGAGTTTAGTAGAGGTAAATGTGTGCTGATCCAACTGCAAAATATTTAGATCACCTTACAAAGAATAAACGTTATTACAAATGAGAATGTATTTCTGTATTCATTATCAATTAAACACACACTATATCTTAATCATTGTTCTTATGATTGACTACAAAGCTTATTTTACCTTAAACATACATCATGTGTTTCCTTTTACATAGTATATAAGGCACAGATGTTTCACAAACCTGGTAGTGTCTTCTTCTTTATCATTGATGTTTTTCTGCCGAGTTTTTCTCTTTTTTTCAGTCTTTTCCCGTCGTTTCTGTAAAGATATAATTGAAATAGGGAGTCAATGCAAATTTTTGCCCTGGACTTTTAACCGCTGAATTCATTTGCAAATCAGCATGTAAGACTTCAAAGACATAAGTTGAAACTGAAAGAAAAAATATCACCTACTGACCTTTGTTTCTTTTTTCTTGACTTTCTGACGCTGGTAGGGATGATATCTCTTCCCACTGGTCCCTTGAAAAAGAGATTTTTTCGTTAATTCTGTTCCTTATTCATTATAATTGCAAATTCTCAAAATTCTATTTATGCATTGTTCTACTGGCTCGCCTGCAGAAATGCAGTTCAAGTTCAAGATAGGAAATGAAATAACTTTTACTGGGAGCTCTCTGGGACCTTTGGCCTAACTTCCTGTCAGTGCCCCCAACGTGTTGCAAACTACATTTATGGAAACACAAGTAAAGAGTCACACCTAAAACAAAACCTCCATATACAAAGGTACCATTTTAGATACCATTGAGATTGAGTTGGTTTGCATGACTCACCTTTCCTATGATGGGACTTGTGTGCACCTTCAAAGTCCTGTTCTGCCGTGTCAAGGTCCCCTGTCTGCAGGGCACTGCTACCCTCCTGTAGGTCGTCTTTGCATCTGCTCCTAGAGGGATGACATTGGCTACAGTTCAAAGGCTGAAGTATTCAAAATTATTCATGTTTACTAACCGCAAACATGTGCTGATCCGACAGCTAGGTATTTTGATATATGAAAATACAAAAATGTATTCATTATTGAGGAAAACATCATATTTCCATCGTTCTTACATGGTTGATTACAACGCCTATTGTTTGCTGTAGAATATATAAATTTACAATGTATTACAAATATATCACAAACCCGCCAGTGTCTCCTTTGCCACTGATATTGACAAGTCCAGTATCGCTCTGTCCTGCATCCATTCTGTGAACAAATCCTGATTTTGTCACTTCTGTTGACATTGTTCAATGCAGATTTTTCATGGATTTTTGAACTGAAGGCTTAATCATTTCTAAATCAGCATGTTATAACCTGTCAAACCGAGGTATATAAGATAAAAACTGACAAATAATGGATTAGCACCAACAGACTTTCATCTCTTGTATGCCTACATATTCATTCGCTAATTTCTACTGCTTATAGGGGCTAACGTTATAACGGCTCTGTCCCTAAGGCGTCGCCAAAAATACAAAAATACTTTATCGCTATACTATAATGTGGTGGTGGCGTTTGAGTGAACTAAGTACTGTGCCAAGGACGTCAGAATAACTTGGAATGAAAACTACGTACGTAAGCCAGGTGGTTTTCATATAGGTCAGACAGTCCTGAGTCTGTGACCGTTTCCACACAAACACAGAAACAGGAACAGAAACACAACGACGCTGAAAAACCCACCTGTCATGGGATTCCCCTGACTAAAGATGACGTGGCAGTTTTGTACTTGTGCATATACTATACAGGTGCCTTTGATGAGAATGCATAAAACAGAACTGTAGACTAGTCAAATAAAAATATGTCACAAATATGTCATAAAAACAAATCACTCCCCCTCCCCATCCGATGCACCCCCTCCCTAACCTAAATACTTTAATAAACACCTGTTAGGTCAATAAACAATTATAGCCCTCTTAACTTCCCCTTTACATTCAACTCTGACGTCCTGTCGTGGATAAATATTATACACCGGTACCTTCACATTGACAACAGTTAAAGCAATTTTCAGTTGGACACTACATTTCAAGTGTTACGTTCTTGTTGCATACATTAAGGTACATTGTCGATGTTCGTACACACCTGTTCAGACTTGTTAGGTCGGCGTTGTTGTCTGTATCGCTTACCGTGAAGCACACGGGAGCCTGGTGTGGATAAAATTGGTCTTATCTCTTCAGCTTTGGGTCGAAGACTGACAGTTGAGCTCCGGAGTCACTGATTATGATGTCATGCATGAAAGCGGAAGTCCCCAGGTGTGGCAGTACCTGTTTGCTCCGCGCGGTGGCGTCTGGGAAGGGGGATTGCCCTTCTTGTATAAAAAAAACAGACTGCCAGAAACATAAATTAGCACAAAACGCTGTGTTTTGCAGACTTGCCCTTAAAAAAATTGAAACATGACAACACAGGTACACCACTACCATAGGTTTAGCCCCTACTGTAGCTGCTCCCTGTGTGCACCAAGGGGTATAGTTTATAGAAACGGGATGAGACGCAGTCGGGCGCTACAAGCACATGTACATCAACGTCACGCACCAGACGCTAAAGATTTGGACACCGACGGTCGCAGCCGTGTTGTTGACGTACGAGTGCGTCACTTACGTCGTCCGCGTCGCTCTGAGAAGCAAGCTCAGACCGTCTATGTTCATCCTCCTGATATCCGTGATTCACTCCCACTACTACTCGTGGTGGGTTTTCTTCGGGTACTATAACGACGATTTTTACGCACAGTGGTGGCATCAGCTGGTGTTCACGAGTTCGGAGCTGGTGTCTACGGTACTGGTGCTGCTACAGCTGGACCAGGCGGTGCCTCTGTCCCCTCGCCTGCTCCTGGCTACCGCCGGCATCGCCGCGTTTCACATCCTAGCAGCCGGGAAAGACCAGTTCGTCCAGAACGTGCTGTTGAGGAGGGGGGAGTTCCACCAGGTGTGTAAACCTTAGATCTTATGACCAAAATAGAAAAGAATAGCTTTATTACAAGTTTAAGCCAATGATAGGGATGGTGATGACCAACCAGAGCCAAGGACAGGGTAATGATAGCCAATCAGCACCAAGGACAAGAATGGTGTTGGCCAATCATCGTATAGAATGGGAATGGCGATGACCAATCAGCACGAAGGACAGATCTAGTGATTACAAATCAGTACCAACTTGTGAAGTTCTACGTTCTACTAAGAGTGGATATGTAATACGTGGTTAAGATGGTAGATGGCGAGAAAGATGGTTAACATTTGGGTCTATCTTTAACGTCTAGGTTACTCAGTAAGGACAGATATAAGGCATGAACATATGTAACGTTAAATGGGCTAAGAGTGGTGACAGGTCATCTCTGTTCCAGGTGTACTGCTATTGGCTAATGCTAATGAGCATATGTAAATGAGCTAAGAGTCTATGTCTGTTCCAGGTGTACCGGGACAGATATACTGCTATTGGCTAATGCTAATGAGCATATGTAAATGAGCTAAGAGTCGAGACTGGTCAGGTGTCTGTTCCAGGTGTACTACTATTGGCTAATGCTAATGAACATATGAAAATAACATAGTGAGCTAAGAGTCTATGTCTGTTCCAGGTGTACCGGGACAGATATACTGCTATTGGCTAATGCTAATGAGCATATGTAAATGAGCTAAGAGTCTATGTCTGTTGCAGGTGTACCGGGACAGGTATACTGCTATTGGCTGATGCTAATGAACATATGCAAATGGTTAGGAGTCTATGTCTGTTCCAGGTGTACTGGGACAGGTATACTGCTATTGGCTAATGCTAATGAGATTATGTAAATGAGCTAAGAGCCTATGTCTGTTGCAGGTGTACCGGGACAGCGCGCTGATGGTGTCGGATGTGGTGTATCTGGTCGTGACGTCAGCAGAACTGGTCAGGTTGTTGTGGTGCAGCGGGGAGAGACGGTCCAGGGATGACGTCATGGCGCTAGGGCGGGACGGACTGGTCTCTGCTGTCGTCATTTTCGGGCTCCTGGCGATGCTGTCTTACCTCTGATTGTTTTATTCATCAACACACAACGATACAATAACAAGGACCTTGTGGCGCTGCATTCAAGATTTAAACTTATTTCTTACCTCTGATTCATCCCCACTAGCCTTCAAGGACTTTTTACTCAAGTACAGGACAGAGGAAACTTCGAAGCTTTTTAAGATAGACATGTACAATTGTAAACTATAGATATCTCGGAATGGAAGCGGTACTACGTGTCATATGTGTTGGTGTTTGTGGATAGTCATTTTGATGTAGGCAAGGTGCCTGCGTGCTGCCTAGCGGAATCAATGGCTTCTTGAGTCGTGGAGCCTGGGTGTCAGCCTCTAGATTACTTAGTACCACCGGCTCTGTATTGTCGCTAACTACCATGGACTACCAAGGCCTAGAGCCAGGCCAGAATCTCGGAGGACGTGATCTTTTTTTTTTTTTGAGAGTAGGCTAGGTGAAAATCAATGCGCGCAGATGTCATCCAAACAATTAAGTCGGTGCGACCTAAGTAATGTTTATGGATGACGTGCTCGTGCATTGATTTTGGTCTGTTCTCATAATAAAAAAAACAACAAGAAATCCCGTTTCTTGTTTCTATGACCAAAGAACAACGACAGTGGGGTACAGGAAGATGTGATTGAAGAAAAAACAGGACAGGACAACAACTGCTGTTCCACTGATTTATTGCTGTTTTCATGACGAAAAAGACTTGTTTGGTTCTTACACTGTGTTTTCGCATTCAATTTGTGTCCTGACATTTGTTGCTTAGTATATTTTAAATCTAGACATCTTGCTTTTTTCGGCCCTTCTTGTTTCTTGCGCTCTCGCATTACATTTAGGGTCTCTGAAAGACGACATCCATAAAAGATTATATCGTGTGGCCTAAAGCGTTAAAGTAAATGCATACGAAAGTTATAGGTTGTACATCCCTAGGTCATATACCTGTATTCTTCTTAAACTTGCTATATGTAGCGTCTGTTCAGAACAGACTTAGAATACCAGAATAGTTATACAGCAAGTAAATCCTAAAGGGGCACACCAATGCAACATCCTATACTTAGCTAAAGTCTATCCTCCATCTTTGATGCCTGATCAAAATAGCTGTTGGCCTTTTCGTGATCACCAACGTCCATCCAAGTGATACCCAAGATGTTTAGTGACGCAGCGATGTCAGGATGTGCAGTGTTCTCACCATAGATAACCCGCTCCATCTGTAGTGCCTGTTCATGACAGCTGACGGCCTTTTTGTGATCACCAAGGTCCCTCCAGGCGTTACCCAAGTTGTTAAGTGACGCGGCGATGTCAGGATGTGCAGTGTCCTCACCATAGATAACCCGCATCATCTGTAGTGACTGTTCATAATAGCTGACGGCCTTTCTGTGATGACCAAGGTCCCTCCAGGCGTTACCCAAGTTGTTAAGTGACGCGGCGATGTGCTGATGTGCAGCGTCCTCACCATAGATAACCCGCCTCATCTGTAGTGACTGTTCATGATAGCTGACGGCCTTTTTGTGATCACCAAGGTCCCCCCAGGCAAGACCCAAGTTGTAAGTGATGCGGCGATATCAGGATGTGCAGTGTCCTTGCCGTGATAACCCGCTCCATCTGTAGTGACTGTTCATGATACCTGACGGCCTTTTTGTGATCACCAAGGTCCCCCCAGGCGAGACCCAAGTTGTTAAGTGACACGGCGATGCCAGGATGTGGAGTGTTTTCACCATAGATAACCCGCTCCATCTTTAGTGCCTGTTCAAAATAGCTGACTGCCGTTTTGTAATCACCATAGTTCCCCCAGGCGCTACCCAAGTTGCCAAGTGACCTGGCGATGTTAGGATGTTCAGTGTTCTCACCATAGATAGTCCGCCTCATCTGTAAGGACTGTTCATGATAGCTGACGGCCTTTTGTGATCACCAAGGTCCTTCCATGCGTGACCCAAGTTATCAAGTGACCCAGCGATGCCAGGATGTTCAGTTTTCTCACCATAGATAACCCTCTCCATCTGTAGTGCCCGTTCATAATAGCTGACGGCCTTCTTGTGATCACCAAGGTCCGCCCAGGCTTTACCCAAGTTGTTAAGTGACCCGGCGATGTCAGGATGTTCAGTGTTCTCACCATAGACAACCCGCTTTATCTGTAGTGACTGTTCATGATAGCTGAGGGCCTTTTTGTGATCACCAAGGTCCCTCCAGGCGTTACCCAAGTTGTTAAGTGACGCGGCGATGTCGGGATGTGGAGTGTTCTCACCATAGATAACCTGCATCATCTGTAGTGACTGTTCATGATAGCTGACTGCCTTTTTGTGATCACCAAGGTCACTCCAGGCGTTACCCAAGTTGTTAAGTGACGCGGCGATGTCGGGATGTGGAGTGTTCTCACCATAGATAACCTGCATCATCTGTAGTGACTGTTCATGATAGCGGACTGCCTTTTTGTAATCACCAGGTCACTCCAGGCGGAACCCAAGTTGTCAAGTAAGTTTGCGATGTAAGAATGTGCAGTAATTTCACCATAGATAACCCGCATCATGTGTAGTGACTGTTACATAATAGCGGACTGCCTTTCTGTGATCACCAAGATTCTTCAAGGCGGAACCCAGGTTGTTAAGTGATGCGGCGATGTCAGGATGCTCAGCGTTCTCACCATAGATAACCCGCCTCATCTGTAGTGACTGTTCATGATAGCTGACGGCCTTCTTATGATCACCAAGGTCACTCCAGGCGATACCCAAGTTGGTAAGTGACGCGGCGATGTCAGGATGCGCAGTGTTCTCACCATAAATAACCCGCCTCATCTGTAGTGCGTGTTCCTGGTAGCTGATGGCCTTTTTGTGATCACCAAGGTCCCTCCAGGCGTTACCCAAGTTGTTAAGTGACGCGGCGATGTCAGGATGTGCAGTGTCATCACCATAGATAACCCGCATCATCTGTAGTGACTGTTCATAATAGCTGACGGCCTTTCTGTGATGACCAAGGTCCCTCCAGGCGTTACCCAAGTTGTTAAGTGACGCGGCGATGTGCTGATGTGCAGTGTTCTCACCATAGATAACCCGCTTCATTTGTAGTGATTGTTCATAATAGCTGACGGCCCTTTTGTGATGACCAAGGTCCCTCCAGGCGTTACCCAAGTTGTTAAGTGACGCGGCGATGTCAGGATGTTCAGTGTTCTCGACCATAGATAACCCGCTTCATTTGTAGTGATTGTTCATAATAGCTGACGGCCTTTTTGTAATCCCCAAGGTCGTTCCAGGCGACACCCAAGTTGTTAAGTGACTTGGCTATGACAGGATGCTCAGCGTTCTCACCATAGATAACCCGCCTCATCTGTAGTGACTGTTCATGATAGCTGACGGCCTTCTTATGATCACCAAGGTCACTCCAGGCGATACCCAAGTTGGTAAGTGACGCGGCGATGTCAGGGTGATCAGTGTTCTCACCATGTATAACCCGCAACATCTCTATGGACTGTTCTTGATAGCTGACGGCCTTTTTGTGATCACCAAGGTCCATCCAGGCATTAGCCAAGTTGTTAAGTGACGGGGCGATGTCAGGATGTTCAGTGTTCTCACCATAGATAACCCGCTTCATCTGTAGTGACTGTTCATAATAGCTGACGGCCTTTTTGTGATCACCAAGGTTCATCCAGGCGTTACCCAAGTTGTTAAGTGACATGGCAATGTCAGGATGTTTAGTGCTCTCACCAAAGATAACCTTCCTCATATGTAGGGATTGTTCGTGATAGTTTACGGCCTTCTTGTGATCACCAAGGCTGCTCCAGGCGAGACCTAAGTTGTCAAGAGATCCAGCGATATGAGGATGTTCAGTGTTCTCACCATAGATAAGCTGCTTCATCTGTAGTGACTGTTCATGATAGCTGACGGCCTTTTTGTGATCACCAAGGCCCCTCCAGGTGCTACCCAAGTTGTTAAGTGACGCGGCGATGTCAGGATGTTCAGTGTTCTCACCATAGATAACCAGCCTCATCTGTAGTGACTGTTCATAACAGCTGACTGCCTTTTTGTGATCACCAAGGTCCCCGCAGGCGTTACCCAAGTTGTTAAGTGACGCGGCGATGTCGGGATGTGGAGTGTTCTCACCATAGGTAACCCGCATCATCTGTAGTGCCTGTTCAAGATAGCTGACTGCCTTTTTGTGATCACCAAGGTCCTTCCAGGCAAGACCCAAGTTGTTAAGTGACCTAGCGATGTCAGGATGTGCAGTGTTCTCACCATAGATAGCCCGCCTCATCTGTAGTGACTGTTCATGATAGCTGACAGCATTTCTGTGATCACCAAGGTCCTCCCAGGCGTTACCCAAGTTGTTAAGTGACACAGCGATGTCAGGATGTGGAGTGTCCTGACCATAGATAACCCGCTCCATCTGCAGTGCCCGTTTATAATAGCTGACGGCCTTTTTGTAATCACCAAGGTCCTTCCAGGCGTTACCCAAGTTGCCAAGTGACCCAGCGATGTCAGGATGTGCAGCGTTCTCACCATAGATAACCCGATCCATCTGTAGTGACTGTTCATGGTACCTGACGGCATTTCTGTGGTCACCAAGGTCACTCCAAGCTGTACCCAACTTGTTAAGTGACGAGGCGATGTCAGGATGTACAGTGTTCTTACCATAGATAACCCGACTCATCTGTAGTGCCTCTTCATGGTAGCTGACGGCCTTCTTGTGATCTGACATGTTCTGACATGCTGTACCTAGTTTATTAAGTAATCGCGCAATGTCAGGATGTATGGCAGCGTTGCCAAATTGGGAACGATAGTTCTGCAGGATCTCTTCCATGCATGTCTTTAAGTTTTGGTAATCACACAGACTTTCGTATACCTCTGACTTAAGTTCCAAAGAGTTGTCAAATAGCGTTAATGGCTCTTGTAATGACTCTGTAATCTCTGAAACAAAGTCTTTTAAAGGTGATGCTGTGTAGTAGTATCTCATGATCTGTTTTGCATTGGAAATGTAAAACACTTTCCCCAACTTCTCATTTAAATCTGTTTCTCTTGGCATTGACGATAATGCTGACATATTTTCCACTTGACCACGATTATTCATGTATGTCCGCAGCCTCAGTTCTGCTGAGATACTGACCAGCACCATCAAGTGATGCGCGTTCTCTGTGTTAATGACACCATTCATGTGCATCTTGTCAATCGTCTCCCAGATTGTTGTCGGCTGTATTCCTTGAAGTAGTGCCCAACATGACACAGCAATACTAGAAAACCGATAGATTTCTTTCTTTACATTAAACAGACCGTCATTCATGACGTCCCTTTCAAAGGTTGCCGAGTTGTCTTTTAATATGGTATTTCCTAGTAACAATGAAATTTTTCTATTGTTTCCCTGAAGTCGCTTAGTCCACAAAGCCATATACTCATCAGTTAGCTCTTGCTCTCCTGCAATTAACGAAACATTCCCCAAGACACTGGCAAGATGGTAGCCTTTCTTCAAATGGAACTTTACATTGTTTTCCAAAAGTTTTGTCATGTTAGTCGGTGTGCGGATAAGTTCACACGTTTTTCCCCTACCCAGTGGAGTCTTACAAGCATGTGGCATGGCTGCATCGAATGAAAACCCTCGAGGTGTTACAGAGTCATAGTACCAGTTATCCTGTGGGTCGTCTGAGTGGAAATCATTGAGAGACTTGATCCCCATGGCCGGGAGAATGGTTTCTCCCAGATTGATGACTTTAAGATGCAGATAGTGAGTGAGGTTGCGAAAATACGTGACATTATTCACTGTTTCCTTCTGTACCAAAATGGCAAATTCCAGATCAGAGTATGGTGTTACTAGTCCCGTGGCTTGTGAACCCAGGCCTATCATGGCGTACTTACAGGGAGGGGGACCCATTACCTCCATACATTCATCTACAAGGCCAACTGTAAACCTTCTTCGATGATAAAGTATTGTCTGAAACAATACTTTGATTGCTTCTGCTCTTTGTCTCTCCACTTCTCTGATATCTGGGTCATCATCGTCAAGGCTATAAGGATCCACCTGTTGTTCAATTGTTTTCATCTCTTTTTCGACTTGCTGTCTATCTTCTTTCAGCATCATTTTGCGTTTCTTGACATCATCGGGATCTACTGCTTGTGTGATACCCAGCACATGCTTAACGAATGATTGTGTTATTAACTGGATTGTTTGTTTTATGTTGTCTTGGTCTTCTGATTTTGACCTTACCAGTGCTGCGTTACAGAGTGCTGCTGCCTTGGTGAAATCACCACCGTCATTTGATTGTTTTCCTCTCTTCAGGTAGACATCACTCAACTTTAAAAGGGGCTCTACTTCTTTGCTGGAATCTGTATGAAATAGAAGTATCTGATTTTTAATAACTCCAGATCTTAATAACCGAAAAGTTGCTATTTTGTACATCATTTTGACAGTATTGTTACAGTAACTATTTTCTATGAAACCTTGTAAGACTTCCCAAGTACTGGTTCTGCTTGGTGACTTTATAAAAAATTGTTATTTCTTCAATCAATGTGACATATGTGAATTACCCAAAATATTTAAAGTATTTGGGAAATTTATTTGTGTTTTGTTCATTTATGAATTTCTTGATGGTTTTATCATTTTCCTGCTGCCTCCCACAAGGCAACATGTGCATGTACATGTAGCACTGAAACTGAGGACAGGAAATGAGATAACCTTTTCTGGGACCTTGTCAGTGACTAGCATGGGGAAACACCTTAACTTCTGGAAAACAAACGGGTAATAATACTGCATGGCTAATTTTGATTCCACCGTGGTATTATCACCAAATACTTTTTGCACAAACTGTTTAGTATGACTCACCTTTCCCATGTACAGACTTGAGTGCAGCTGCAAGGTGTCTTTCTGCCTTATCCAGGTTCTCTGTCTGCAGGGCCGTGCAACCCTTTTGTAGGTTGTCTTTGTATGTACTGTTGGAAGGATAACATGGACTACATGTCAAAATTTAAAGTATTTGAATTTACTTTTGCATTATGTACTTACTTAGATTTTAATTATTGTTCTCATGATTGACTACAAAGCCTTAAACGTACATCATGTGTTTCCTTCTACATAGTATATGAGGCACAGATGTTTCACAAACCTGGTAGTGTCTTCTTCTTTATCATTGATGTTTTTGTGCCCAGCTTTGCTCTTTTTTGCAGTCTTCTTCCGTTGCTTCTGTTAAGATATGATTGAAATAGGGAGTCTGTATCTGTATAGCCTATACAACCGCCCTTCAGAGACAGTAACACACCAGAGCTAATGCAGATCTTGCCATGGAATTTAACCACTGAATTCATTTGCAAATGAGCAAATCACCTACTGACCTTTGTTTCTTTTTTCTTGACTTTCTGACGCTGGTAGGGATGATATCTCTTCTCACTGGTCCCTTGAAAAAGAGATTTTTTCATCAATTTTTTGTTTTATTGGTCATAATTACAAATTCTCAATAATTCTGTTTAAACATTGTTCTACTGGCTCTCCTGTGGAAATGCATACAGTACAAACTTTAAAACAGGAAATGAAATAACTTTTACTGGGAGCTCTCTGGGACCTTTGACCTAACTTCCTGTCAGTGCCCCAATATTTTAGCAACGTGTTTCAAACTATGGAAACACAAGTAAAGAGTCACACCTAAAACAAAACCTCCATACACAGAGGTACCATTTCAAATACCATTGAGATTGAGTGAGTTTGCACGACTCACCTTTCCCATGATCAGACTTGAGTGAAACTTCAAAGTTCTTTCCTGCCATGTCCAGGTCTTCTGTCTGCAGGACGTTGCAGCCCCCCTGTAGGTGGTCTTTGCATCTGTTGTTGGATGGATGACATGGGCTATAGTTCAAAACCTCGAGTATCCATAGTAAATGAATATTAAGAAGGGGCAAACATGCGCTGATCCGATTGCCAGACATTTGTACTGTCACAGTATACATGAAAATTCTAATCTGTATTCATTATTCTGTAAAAGTTTGTCTCATACAATTCCTATTGTTTGCTGAAGATTCTTTTAATTTCACACAATGTAAGAAGTACAAATATGCCACAAACCTGTCTTCTCTTTTGGCACTGACGTTTACAAGTCCCGCGTTGCCTTTTTCCGCAGCCATTCTGGTAAAACAAATCTTGGTTTGTAACCTGTCAACAACGTGGCATGTAAGACGAAGTAAGGGTCAATACCTATTATGTAACTTTTATCTCTCTTATGTATTCTTGGAGAACAAGAATTTGCTTATTTACAATCATTATAACAGCCAGCGTACTAATGGCTCTACCCTTGTGGCGTCGCCAAAAATTACACAAATGCTTTTGTCCCTGAAGATTGGTGGCACCCTCCCGAGCAGGGTGTAGTGGCTAGGCCCCGAAGTGTCCTCCTGAGGGAGGATACTTCGGGGCCGAGCCACTACACCCTGCTCGGGCGGGTGATTGGTGGTGGGTGTTAAGTGAACTTAATACTACACGTACTGTGTGTTAAAGGAAATTTACGGACACAAAATTACATACGGATTGTACCTTACAATTTGTCATATTATCCCCAGATTCGTACCCGTTTATAACAAACACAGAAACAGGAACGGAAACTCAACGACGGTGAGGTCATACTAACACGTCATGGAATTCCCCAACTTGAGGATGACGTGATAGACAGGTTTTAAATGATAATGAAATAAAACTAAAACTTGATAGCCATATAAGAATGCCAATTTTAGCCAATATTACGTCCATCTCTTCATAACGGAGACAGTAGATAGTAAAATTCTACCTAACACTGTTACGGTGACAAATTTAAGGTTTATTGTCGGTAACTGATCCCCTTCCATATTCCCACTCCTTACAATATTTACACAAAAACATCTGTTCAGTCTACAAACGACTATGCCTTTTCTAACGTCGCCTTTATATCTATAATCAACACTGTAGTGCATAACCAATATACACCATTCACGTTGACTACGCAGTATTTTGTGTAGGTATTGTCAAGTGCTACATTCTTGTTGCATGCATTAACTAAAAGGTACATTGTCGACGTTCGTACACACCTGTTCAGACTTATCGGGTCGGCGTTGTTCGCTGTATAACGCTTAGAATGAAGAACACTGAAGTCTTGTGCGGGTAACATGTGTCTTATCTCTCCATGTTTGGGTGGAAGACTGACAGTTAAAGATCCGGAGTCACTGATGATGTTGTCATAGGTGAAAGCGGAAGTCCCCAGGTGTGGCCCTACCTGTCTGTACCGCGCGGGGGCGTCTGGGAAGGGGGAATCCCCTTCTTGTATAAAATACAGACTGACAGAAACATACATTAGCACAAAACACTGTGTTTTGCAGACTTGCCCTTCGAAAAAAAAATGTTCGGAACGTTGAAAACACATATACTCCATTACCATTGGTTTAACCCCTGTTGTAGTTATAATTACTCTGGGTGCCTCAGGGACTATAGAAACGGTATGAGACACCGCCCACATACTTTAACTAACGCACTGAAAAAGAGGAACTTGTCCTTCGGAGTAAACGGTGGGTTTACTGTGTCTAACATGGCCGTCTCGACCCTTTGACCCCCCAACAATCACACGCCCACATTAGGGTTTCCAAGTAAGCTACATAGGACCTCGTAAGAGTTAAGCCTTCGCTTATCACGATTATCAATATTCTACTCTGTATGAACTGATCAGTATGGTATATTGCAATATGAGGTTCCAGCTCTTTCCATATCATAAGTCATTCAGTACTAGTATCATAATTGCATACAAACAGTCCGTTTAGAATCTTGAATGAAGTCGAAAATAACAATCTCATATATGTTTTGCCAAACATTGAAGCGCAGGTTACATTTACAACGTAGCTCACTGTGTGTGGATGACTGGACAAAGGTCAATCTCTGGCCAAGGGGGGCCAAACAAATGTTACCTCATAAGCCTATGTGTGTACATAGTTTGACTCATTATAGCGTGATACCTGGAAACGCCAGCTCTTCAGCAAGGAGGCAGCGTTCACACTGTCAGCAATTAGGTAGGTTTAATATCGTGTCTTTCACTGCTTGTGCTAATACTAGAATTACAGTGTACTTCTTGACAATGTACAAATGTAACCTCCGGTAAGTATACACAAATGTATAGTCAGAATTTGGCACATGTAAAGGCTTGTTGCTGTACATGTTTGTTAGGGTTTGCCTGGGTGTTTGCTTTACCAGTCAGTTTCTGGTCAAACCACGCATGGTGTAATTTTAACACATGATAATAATAGAATTTTGGCTACGTTCTTCCGTTACACATTTATCAAGATACGTTATCCGTAATTAGGTTAACATTATATTGAAAGACTCGTAACTGATTTAATTTTGCTGAGTAACGATCAACCGTTAAGTTGGGAATTCCCAGAGTCAGCCATTGTTGTAATAACCTTTGGTCTTACTTTTGCAAGCAGGTTGAATACGGAACAAGATAAATTAAATATTTCGCAATTCTTTCATGTACAAGAGTGTCGAAAATCTAGGTTTAACATGTATTTGAAAACAAAACACACTAGCCCCCGTGGTAGACGTATAAACACGATTCAATATCTGATTTTTTTATTTGTATTGTACTATGATTATGACTGTTTCCCACTGTCAAATACGAAAGTAAAAGTTATAACGATCATAGGACCTCAAAAGCTTGTTTGGTGGGCTTTTGTGGTCACAAATCAAAGATGAGACCCAAAAACATGACTAAAATCTTACGAGGATCTAGGTTGAAATAACACCGATTTGTTCACTAATGCCCTTGAATATATTTTAAGGTGAACATTGACTGACCGAACACAGTGGAAGAGTTTACAAAACACGGAGTCATGGCGTCTTCCAATCTGCCAAAAGCTATAAACGCAAAGAGATTGTTGCTGAAAGAAAACCTACGGAAGTCTACAATAGACAGTGTACTCGACCAGTTGGTTTCTGAGGAAAATATTGAAACGGCAGAGTACCAGAGGATTCGATCCCAAAGTACTGATCACGAGCAAGCAACAGCCTTGAACTACTTGATTTTATCACAACACGAGGGCCAGTAGCCATGAAGTCATTTCATGGAGCTTTGAGGAGTACAAATTCCTTTCTGGCAGAAGAAATTGACTCAGCCTTGGAGGAAATTTTGGCAAACAGCGTGTCTGAATTTGACTGTGCAGGCCACTCATCCAACGAAAAATCAAATACATGGCCACTTTCCGAGGCCACAACGTCAAGAAGCACACCAGCAAATACATCAGCATCCACATCACAACTCCATCAAACTTCACAATGTCAGCATGGAGCATATGGGCTACTGGAAGATACTACAGCCACCGCTCAGCCAGTAAGCTTCCTTGTCGCTGGCTGCTCAGGGAACGGGAAAAGCGAACTGGCCAATGCTATCATTGGACACAAAGGTGCATTTCGTGTCAGACGAAACCCACGCGATGGTACACAGACAGCCAAAGGAAAGTGTCTTCGCCGTCGAATCAACAATGGCGTCTGGGAGATGACCGTCATAGACACACCGGGTATATCTAAAGAAATGACAGAGGCACAGTTTCACGAAGTTGTGAATGGTGTAGAGTTTTCTCTTCATGGCCTGGATGCTATCATCTTAACCTGGTCTTACGTGAAATCATACGACAATGAAGAAAGAGAATATTGTGTATTTAAGTCCTTGCATCGGTTGTTTGGCAATGGCTTTCTCAGTCGCCTTGTTATAGTAATAACCAGTGCAGATGACATCACGATGTCAGAATCTGAAATCTTAGAAGGGCTTCCTGAATGCATGAAGGAAATCTTGCAGCACAGTCAGGGTAGGGTTCTGTTAATGAGCGACACCTACGACGAGAGAACTGTACTGCAGCAAACATCTAAACTGATCGACATGTCTTTGAAACTGACCGAGAAAAACGGCTCAACCTACACGTGCAACGATCTGTCACCAAAATGTCAAATTCCACAAGGAAAAGACATTAGAGTCGCCATGCTAGGGAAAACTGGAGCAGGCAAAAGTAGTACTACGAACAGTATTCTGGGATATCCCGCGTCTACAGTGTCTTGCAGCATGTCGTCAGAAACGAAAGACTGTTTGTGTTTTACAAGAGACAAAGGAGACCGTAAGATTTCTGTCACAGACACACCGGGAATACTTGACACAGGCTGCAGTGATGAGGACACCGCAACTCTTTTGACTGAAGTAGCAACGAAGTTCCCAAATGGGCTACATGCGCTGCTTCTTGTAGCAAACCATACCAGGTTCACAAAAGAGGACGCTTTGGCGGTAGAGCTTTTGAGACATGTATTTGGCGAGAGATTTCTCCAGTATTCTGTCATGGTGGTCACTGGTATGGATGTCATAGAGGCAGACGAAAGAGTGGCAAACAAGCAGGCCTATCTCAGAAACGCACCTCGACAATTGCGTGAGATACTAGAGGAATGCGGTAACAGATGCGTATTCTTCAACAACAAGACAAAAGAAGAGACGCTACGAAGAACTCAACTGTGGAAACTCTTAACATTGGTGGAGAAAACAGTTGAGATCAACGGTGGACCGTACAGAGACGCCCTCTTCCGGAAAGAGGAAGAGGTGCGGGAGACAACCACGCCTAGCAGATGTAATGCAGTTGTAGACAGTATTGCGGAAGGAACAACAAAAGGCACAGAACACTGGCATGTCATATGGAAGAAAATCCTTGAGCTCATCAAAGGTTGGAGAAAGTCTAGGAAGGTTAACCCTATAAATATGAACCAAGTACAAAATGTGTGAAGAGCTATCCCTGCCCTCCTTACATTGTGATAATATACTAAGTAAGAGTGTTAGTAAACAAACATAATGTTCAGAAGGAATAGCGACAGTGTAAAAGTGGCTTTTAAATTGTATTGTGTACAGTCTACATGTTGTTTTTGTACTTTTGTACTAGCTATCGTTTTGGAATTCAAGTACAATCTAGCTTAATAAAAAACAGCAAAAAACAAAATCATTCACATACTACTATGAGTATATGACGTGAACAACATTTATTCTTGCATTTGTTTCTTACATGTACATGTACTTGCCCATATGAGAGTTTTAAGCATCAGAGGCAAGCTTGTATACAGCATGCATTATGTATACATCAAATGTACCATCCCCTACCTATGCAGCTATATGGGAACCTATAGCTATGTTCCCCATCCCTTAGGCCATGTTGATTTGATTATATGGATGACATCCTCTGGGAACCCCAAAACTGATGCGAGCGTGCGAATTAAAAAAAGTTTTGCCAAAAAAAAGTTGCTTTAATTATGAAATCTACGTGGTCATGAAGGTTGAACAAAGGGCACAGAGTATCGTTTGGCGAATAATCTACTCTTCAAATTCATTTCTTTACATTTTCGTCTTTTTTGTTTGATTTTGGCATTCTACGACATTGGTATCGTTTTCAAATATTTTTTTGCAACTTACGGGTATAAATTTGTTCATTTTGCAACTGTTTTGTAT